CGGCTGCAGCTGGCAGCCCTGTTGCAGAGGAGATCTGCTGGTCTTGGTGCCTGCCGTGGGGGGCTGGGGGCTCTGCCGTGGGGTCTGCATCCCAGGGGCTTAGCAAAGCAGGGCCTTAAAGCAGATTTTTCTCTCATAGAAGAAGTCTCCCTCGGTCAATATAATCGAGGTGTAAGTGCAGCACCAGCTCTGCGTCTGGGGTCCTGGGCGTCCTGCCAGAGCCAAAGCAGGCCTTGGAAGAAGAGGCAGCACCGGGCACCCAGCCTGGAACTCTGCATGCGAAGATCCGCGTATCAGAACTTACGCTTTCCCGAGGGCGCCTGTCCAGGGATGTGCATGGAGCCGGCTCCCAGCCGTGCATGCAGCGCGTGGCCCTGCCCATCCCGCATGCCTGGCCCCGCTTCCCTGCCACTGGAGCTGAGAAAGGGCAGGGGGCCATGCCACCAGCCCAGGGGTGCAAGCCCGGGGGAGCAGAGGGGCTGGTGCGCTGGCTTGCATGGAGGCAACGTCCCTGCGTGCTGGCTTGGCCAAAGGCCTGTGTGCAGCCGTGTGGCACGGGACGCCTGCCCGGCAGGCAGCCTGGGGCAGACCTTCTCTCAGCTGCTGTGTCTTGGCTCGGAGGGCTGCCTGAGAAAGGCAGGAGCTGCTCCCCTTTTGGCCCTGAGATGGAGGGGATGGGGCAGTGTGGGCCCCAGTGCTGCTGGGGAAGTCGTGGCCAGGTGGCAGGAGGGTTTGTCTGTGGAGCTGGGCCCAGTGAGCACAGCTGAAGAGGATCCCTGCTGAAGAACAGGGCTCCACTGCACCCCACCATCAGACCTCTCCCTGCTGCAGGGGACAGAGACACAAACGAGCATGAGGAGCTAGTGCGACCACTGTGCCTGGCCGACCTGCAGCTAGGGCAGGGGGTGCCAGTAGGAGCCGTTCTGTGAGGTGGCGTGAGCCCCACAGAGCTGTGTGAGCAGGCAGCGCCAGGGCATGGCTTCGACTTTGCCATTTCCCTGGTAAGGCTCAGTCCTGACACATTCAAGCTGTTGTGGGGGAGCTGCTGAGCGCCCTGTGAGCAGTGCAATGCCTGCGCTGGCGGGAGAGAACGTGGTGAGGCCCAGCAAGATCTCGGCAGGCTTGACAGGACGTGCGCTGCAGAGCTCATCACCGCTCTGAGGACAACCCTAGCTTCAACAGCATCGCGTCCCGTTCCTGGCTCCTGCTGTCTTGCCGGGGGTACGGTCACTGCTGATGTTCCTGCTCCTGGACCTGGTCCCATGGCCTGTACCTGGTACCTGTTGGAAAGGGCTGGCCCTCAATCCCCAGGGCTGGTGGAGCGCTGGCTTGCTGGTGTATGCCCAGTCTGCCCGCTTATGCAAGGACAACGTGAGCCATCGACCACCCTGGGGCTGGTGGAGTGGTGATGTCTGGACTGTGCTTGTTTGCTCCCCAGAGCTTGCAGGCAGAAGTCTCTCAGTGGGTATCTGCCCTGCTCTGTGTCCGAGGCTGAGGCCGGGCCCAGGCATGCCCTCTTGCCGGCAACAGGAGGGAACAGGGTGATACGAGGCTCTCTGCTGCAGAGGTGGCAGCTGGTGCCCTGGCTGCTGCTCTCCCTCTGTGCTCTGCTCTGCGGCCTGTCACTGAGCTGGGGTGATGGCTCTGCAGCCCTGGACTCAAGCATCACAGGATCCAGCGTCTTCCAGGAATAAACCTCCCAGTAAAGCACTTTCAGGACTCTTCCTTCCAGGTGCTGCTCAGCTCTTGCTGCAGGACTAGGTGGGGAAGGGATGGGATAGGTAACTCCTGTGGCAGGGTCTTTTCAATAAAAGCATCCTGGCTCAACGGCAGCATTGTCCCTGCAGAGT